AGAATTTGGTCTCCAGTAATAACTGTGGGTTAGGTCAAAGGTACCAAAAGTGAAACATAGCTAACTTGTTGTGGCACATCTAGATTTAGTTCGATATGTGAAAATCTGTAACTTTGTTTTGAAAAGTTTAAATGTATCTCTACCACCTCTCAGATATAATGAGATAAACAAATTAATGACTTACAATTCCATAGCTATACTCTGTCCATTTGACAGATTACCTATACTTTAAAATGCACTATTTAAGGTAATAATATAGAAACACAAAGTTTGGAACATTTCACTAGAACAGTTTCTACAACAGCAAAAGAAGGTATATAAATCATGCACAAACACTGATTTCAAATACTTTGCTTTTCATGTTGTAATTAAATGTTTCTTTTGAACCAGAGAAGGGAATCTGATTAAGTTATTAAAGGGACGGAAGCATTTGGCATATTTATACTTAATTGGAAAGTGTAGGTTAACATTTTTTATTTATAATTTTAATGCACTTGAACAAGGCAGTTAAAATAAAATAAAATATGCATTAGTAATTGAAAATAATTTTGCTATATCCCTAAAATCCTACATCTTCTGCATGTTCTGCAGCTAAGTTGATCCATCCCTTTTTTTTCAAAGCACTACCTTGATTCTTGTTGGGAATTGTTCAATCAAATACTTCTTGTAGAGGTGTATTATGGGCACAAAGAGCACATCTAGATGCTTTAAAACAAATATAAAAAAAACATTTATGCAATAACCACATTAGTCGGTAGAAGACAATGCATAGATAGATTACATTCAGGAGCTGTTGTACATAGTAAACAAAAGGACATGTAGAATGTGGTTTTTATATATTTATGAACAAGATGGGTCTAAATGAGTGTTTTACTAGGTCTTCCAGAGCTGCAGTGGGGAAAAGGTGTTACATTCAAGAGAAATCCAATACCCAGAGGTAAAAAAACAGTGCACTGGGGCCTTGCCTACACAACCAGTCACAGGAATAAAAATGTAAATTATCAATAAAATTAAACTTATATTTATTGGTACCTCCAACAAATGCAATACAGTCATACAATACAAACACACAGGCTGCTGTATACACACACAGGCTGCTGAATACACACACACGGACTGCTGAATAGACACACATGAACTGCTAAATACACACACACACACAGACTGCTGAATACACACAGACTGCTGAATACACACAGGCTGCTGAATACATACACAGACTACTGAATACACACGGACTGCTAAATATACACACGCAGACTGCTGAATACACACAGACAGACTGCAGAATACACACAGGCTGCTGTATACACACACAGGCTGCTGAATACATACACCCAGAATATTGAATACATACACACAGACTACTAAATACACACACAGACTGCTGAATACAGAGAGACTGCTGAGTATATACACAGACTGCTAAATGCATAAACAGACTGCTTATTACACACACAGGCACAGACTACTGAATACATGCAGACTGCTGAATACATACACACAGAGTGCTGAATACATGCATGCAGATGGCTGAATACATGTACACAGACTGCTGAATACATACACATACTGCTGAACACACACACACACACACACACACAGACTGCTGAACACACGCATACTGCTAAACACACACAGACAGACAGCAGTGAGGAGTGCGGTGTGTTTAAGGGAAGCAGTGTGTGAGGGGTGCTGTGTGTGTGAGGGGTGCTGTGTGTGTGTGAGGGGTGCGGTGTGTGTGGGGTGCTGTATGGGTTTGTGTGTGTGAAGGGTGCTGTGTGTGTGTGTGTGAGACAGGTGGTGCTGTGTGTGTGTGAGAGGGTTGCTGTGTGCGTGAGAGGGGTGTAATAACATTGTAAGTAGGCGTTGAATAAAGTGCGGTTGGTCAGCCAGGTCCACAGCCTCAGCCTTTAATCTTCACATTATAGTGTCTCCGCATGTCTTCCATAGCCTCAACTCTTTCGGAGGTGAGGAACTGTTGCTGTTGCAGTGCCTTCAGTTTCTTCTTTACTGAAGTAAGCCTGGTGTCAGTGGTGGTGGCGGTAGTTTCCAGCTGGGTAAGTCCAGAGTTTGCTTAATCGAGCAGGGTCTGGAAGCTGGCTATGTCAGTGGCAATATTTGACCAAAGCACCGGCAGCATAGTTTTCAGGAAGGCTGCAGTGGCTGGATCTTTGTCTTCAGGGGCCATCGTTGAAGGTCTTGGAACGTGTCTGTCGAGGCCCCTGCTCCTGTATACAGGAGTAAGTCGGAGGTGGAGAAGGAATATCCCTCATCTCCCAGCATTGTATTGGCCCAATATCTCTGCTAACAGGACCTTTATCTACTTTTTTTTTTGAATGCACATTTTTATTTATTTTTTAAAATAAGAGACATTAGGTTTAAACAAGATGATAGTCAAAGATGCGGTAACACTGCAGTTAATGAAACATACGTTGTGTTGGCTGACTACATGAGTGAGAAGTATATCTAGGTAAACTAGTGTCCCACCCCTGTGACATATTAGGCAATTGAGAAACATGATAGTAGGCTGACAAAACACAGGGCAGTTGTCAAGATTATCATCTATTGTAAAATACATCGATTACTCAAGTGTTAACTTAGCTAGTGTATGCATTTTTGCCTTTGCTGTTGCTGATACTGGGAGCTTAGTATAACAGGTATTGAAAGTCCTGAGAGCAGTCGCTTGGAACATGTGGGCACCCCAACGCCTCGGTGGGATGCAGCTGAACAGTCCTCTTCCAAGCTTTCAACGCTCTTCTGGAGAGTTTAGACCCTGGATCAGTCCATGCCACTCGAGCCCTCTCCCTCTCTTGTGGTTGAATTTTGCAGTCCTGGGTCGAAACCCATGCCCCACTGTCGTGCGGCTGCCGGTGCGCTCAGTGTGTTGGTGCTTAGTGGTGGAGGGAGTGAGTATGGTTTCTCTCTGCCGCTTGTTGTGGGGCATTCTCCACTGCTTGCCGCTGTTTGTTGGTTGACGCTGATCTCTTCTGCTTCTGCTGCTTCGTCGCTGTACATAGCTGCTTCGTCGCTGTACATAGCTTGTTAGCCGCCTGCTGCTTTAGTGTGTGGGACAGCTTGTTGGTATGAGATAGCGTGGTGAGGATTGTCACCATCTTGAATGTGTGGAGCGTTGTGGTAGTCTCCCATCTGCATCTACCCAGCGGGGCTCGCTTGTGTAATAACAGGCTTGTAGGGGTGCCATGGTGGACCGTGGTAACCCCCAGCAGTCCAAGGGGGGGGGGAGGTCTGCGTCTGTAGGACTTCGGGGCTGGATGACTGGCCGCGTCCTCTGCCCTGCATCAACTGCTAGGCCGCAAGTTGGACCTGCCTCTAGTAGTGTGTCCGGAGACTCCATGTTTTCCCAAACCGATACTGCTGTGGGTTCCATGATGCGAGTAAGTATGTAACCCGGTTAGTATGTTTAAATTGCGGTCCCGATGGCTTAAGGTCTGCCTTTTTGCAGGAGCTCCGGTTCAATGCGACTTCTCCGCATGGCGATCAAGCTCCGACCCCGACCTTTATCTACTTTTGCCTTTTTAGATTTGCAACCCATGGCACCCAGTTAGTGTAGACAAGGGTGTTCTGACCTTATATTTGCCCAGATTCTGCCTTAAAAGTGCTGTTTCTAGGTATCAGGAGCAGAAGCTCTAAGAAGTCCCCAGTTGGCTCTGTCCCCCCACCCCCGCAAAATGTAATTTGAATACAAAATTCAGCATTGTGTCTATTATAAATTATATGAATAAAAAAAAAATACAGACCCCAAAATATGATACGTTTTTTGAATGATTGTTTCTTTGTTTGAAGTTTTGATTTCTTCTTCTTTGACTAACTTTATCTAATCTCAAACAAGAAGCAGGCATTTAAAACAGGAGATAGGAACTTCTAAAGTAAATAGACTTTCTTAAGATATGTTTGAAAATGAAACCTTTTTCAGGAAGTTTGTAAGGAGCCTATGTGATTGACAGCCAAGGGAGTGGGTATGGCTGCAGAAATAATAGTATTGAACACTGGTCAGCCACAAAATTAAAACCACCTGCCTAAAATTGTGTAGGTCCCCCCGTACTGTCCAAACAGCTCTGATGCGTCATGTACTTCACACGACCTCTGAATGTGTCCTGTGGTATCTGGAACAAAGATATTTGCAGCAGTTCCTTTAAGTCTGACAGGTTGCAAGGTGGGGCTTCCATGGATTGGTTTTATTGTTTCTGCACTTCCCACAGATGCTCAATCAAACTGAGATCTAGAAAATCTGGAGGCAAAGGCAACATCTTAAACTTCTGTCATGTTCTGCAAACCATTCCTGAACAATTTTTGTACTGTGGCAGGGTGTGTTATCCTGCTGAAAGTGGCCGTTGCCTTCAGAAAACACCATTGCCATAAAGGGGTGTGATAAAACGTGATTAGTCAGACCAGGTAATCTTCTTCCATTGCTCCATGGTCCACTTCTGATGCCTATGTCCCCACTGAAGGTGCTTTCGGTAGTGGACAGTGGTCATCTTGGGCACTCTAACCACTCTGTACTTTGCCACCTTTCAATCATGTCCTGCATTAGGTTTTCAACAATTTGAGTTATAGTAGTTCTTCTGTGTTATAAGACCAGATGGGCTAGCCTTCGCTACCCAACTGCATCAGTGAGCCTTAAGTGCCCATGACTCTGACTCCACTTCACCGGTTGTCCTTCCTTGCACCACTTTTGGTAGTAACTAACCACTGCATTCCGGGGACACCCCATAAGAATTGCTATTTGGAGATGCTGTGTCATCTAGCCATCATTACTTGGCCCTTATCAAAGTTACTCAGATCTTTGTGCTTGCCCATTTTCCTGATTTGAACAGATAAAATTCAGAAACTGACTGTTCACTAGAGTTGAGCGGACACCTGGATGTTTGGGTCCGACGGGTTTGGCCGAACTTTGAAAAAAAAGTTTGGGTTCGGGCTTGAGCTTGACTCCGAACTTAACCGCGAACCTGAACCCCATTAAAGTCAATGGGGACCCAAACTTTTGGGCACAAAAATGGCTCTAAAAAACTCCTGGAAAGGGCTAGAGTGCTGCAAAAGGAAGTAATATGGGGGTAATAGTAGGACAAGTGCCCTGCAAACAAATGTGGATAGGGAAATCACTTAAAAATAACATAAAATAAGCAGCCGCTTAGTAGATAACTCCCTAATTCCCACGGTATTAGGGAGCTATCTACCAAAAGGCTGAAAGACCTAAATTGGTCTTTCAGCCACATTTACTAATACTAAGTACTACTGTCCTCCCTCCCGGCCCCCACCCCCGAGTGGTGCGTGGGGGCCATAAATAAGAATTTGGCGGGGACCTACTGTCCTCCCCCCCAGCCCCCACCCCTGCGTGGCTGGTGGGGGCCCTAAATAACAATAAGGGGGGGACCTACTGTCTTCCCCCTCGGCCCCCACCTCTGAGCGGTGGGTGCGGGCCATAAATAAGAATTTGGGGGGGACCTACTGTCCTACCGCCCGGCCCCCACCCCTGCACGGCGGGTGGGGGCCCTAAATAACAATAAGGGGGTTGAGGGCCCTAAATAACAATAAGAGGGGGGACCTAATGTCCTCCCCGCGGCCCCCACCCCTGAGCGGCGGGTGGGGGCCCTAAATAAAAATTTACCCCCACCCCCTCAGGTGACTAGGGGTCCCCAAACCCCTAGTCACCCCCTCCCCCCTCAAAAATTACCCCTACCTACGCCCCTCATCCTAATAATAATGAGGGGGGACCCATATCTAAATACCTGTTAAAAAAAATAGACTTACCATTTGATGTCTTCTTTCTTCTAAAATCTTCTTTTTTCAGCCCCAAAAAAGGCCAAATAAAAATCCATAATAACCAACGCACTTAAAAAAAAATTAGGTCCTCCCCCCTTATTGTTATTTAGTGCCCCCACCCACCACGCAGGGATGGGGATGGGGGGGAGGACAGTAGGTTCCCCCTCCAAATTCTTATTTATGGCCCACACCCACCGCTCAGGGGTGGGGGCCAGGTGGGAGGACAGTAGGTTCCCCCTCCAAATTCTTATTTATGACCCCCACCCACTGCAATAGGTCCCCCCTTTAGTTTAAAAGCCCCCACTCGCGTGTCGCGGGTGGGGGCTCAGAAGAGTTTTTTTTTTGTTTTTTTTAACAGTGAGCAGCCACAGGCTGCTCACTGTTTAATAGACATGCCCCTACTAGCTGGGTCACATGCTGCACTGGCCAATCACAGCCATGCCATTAGTAGGCATGACTGTGATGGCTTCTAAGGGCACATGAGTCAAACACTTGTTGATTGGCTGTCCTGCAGCCTTTCAAAACGCGTCATTAAATCGCCGTGTTGCCTAATATATCCCATCCCTTGACAGGTGCCATTGCAATGATATAATCAATGTGATTCACTCCACAGTAGTTTTGATATTGTGGCTGGTCAGTATATATATTTTCTTGTTTTTTAAAAAACTTTTTCTTAAGGTATTATCTTGGGGCTACAAACAATCCCTTAACATTGCTTTTTAGATTCTTTGAAAATAAAATGCAGCTATACATCCTGAAATGATCTACAATAACAACAACTTCTATTCAGCTTTTTTAGGCAATTATTTCTACAAACAGATAACATCTAGTTGTGATTCTTTTTAGAACGGTACTGCTTTAATGCATAGATGAGTCAATATTTCCTGCCACAGTTTTATTTTAAAGACACATTTCTTAAAAGACGTGTGGAGTGGAAGAAAAGCAAATATAGAAAAACATGAATGGAACAGCTAGTGATTCATTAGACCTAATGCGCAAATGAGAAACGTCATTGCTCGAGAACATAAAGAATGTCCGTCCGAGATTTCATCATTTAGAGATGAAAGAGCTTAATGGGGAGACTAGGATTATCTGTAAATGGAGAAATACAAATCTGAGTGGCCCGATAAAAATGTTCTATGAAGTTAAAGTTTTATTGCTTGTACAAAAGCATTGGATTTTTAATGGGTAAAGTGATCAGTCATACAATGAATATGGAGTTTTATAATGCAACATTTATTGCACATTAATGATAAATGATTTTCCAGAGACCTTGTGGATACACATAACACAGAATTGTAGTGTAAGCATGTTTTGTTTGTCTTAGATTAAAATTGTACTTGGTTAATATGGTGCTTGAGGTCTTTCATATTTGCACCCCTGCCATAGGACATCACGGGCAGGCAGTCAAAACAATGACGTAATGTGACATACATTTTCACAATGCTACAATCAGTCACAACTGACCAAGCAAATTCAGGGAAAAGGAGTCATAGGCATAGTCAACTTCCAGAGATTTTGAGATTGCAAGTTCATTTTGGCAGGGGCCTATTCACCTACTTTTCCAGTTAGTCAATCATGTATTGTTAGAATTAAATATTTGTGTTGTTAATCTATTGTACAGCGCTGCAGCATATGTTGGCACTACATAAATATAAAGTAATTGTATTTGAAATTTTAACTTAAAATGTCAGCATAACCAAAGGGCCTTTCTGAAGACTTCTCATATACTACTTCCCAAAATGAAATGAATCATTTCACCTGGTGGGTGGCCTGTCTTCTTATTACTGGAATTGTTCCCAATGCCTCTAAGCATTGAACAGAGTAAAACATTTTAAAAGCCAAAGGGTTAGTATTGGTATCTTTGCAGTGAATATTTAATATAATATCTGCTCATTGTTATCCTCTCTACTTTAAGCTTACTGAGCTTCATGGGAAATGTAGTTTACAAACACTGGTGGAACTAATGTTATCTACCACCTCCCATCCAACTTACTGGGTTATTCACTAAGTGAGAATTGGAAATAATTCAAAGTGAATTCAAAGTAAATTATAAATTTATGGCCAAACTGAAGAGCAATGACTGCCTCAATTTTCTATATTGCATTAAATTCCAAGCAATCTAGTCAGTCTGCAGTAAGGTAAGTAAGTAATAATGGGAAGGATTGCCAGTGATAGCGGGTGTTCAATAAGATGGGTTTAATCTAATGTGTTTGAGTCTCTTCTGTTCCAGTGTTAGGACACAAATACTGTTCTGAAGCCCATCAGTGAAGAGGTTTACAAAAGATTATTGTTTTTACATAACTAATCATTAGTTATTTTGTAGCTGCATTTGCAGCAGAAATTAGGAATTATTTTAGCCTCGGTGAGGGAATAATCTAAATCCGCCACAAGATTGTTGTGTCCCAGGAGATATTCTGCCACAAGTGATAACATCCTGTCCAGACAGTACTGGTAAAGGTCCTTCGTGAAATCCGACAAAAGTTTGTAACGGGAACCTCCCAGCCGGTTTATGTAGCGGACAGCTGAGACGTCCATGCGAAGAAGCAATGAGCAGTGACTCTTTCCTTTCGTGAAACTGTGAATGGCAAAAGACCCTGAAATCAGTTTCAGACAGTTGATGTGAAGAGCCTTCTCTTCTGGGGTCCAGAGCCCCCCTGTCGCTATGCTATCGCAAGTAGTGCCCCAGCCTAGGCAGCTGGCATCCTATTCCAGGACGAAGTCTGGCCTGGATCCATATATTGCCTTGCCATTCCAGGCCTCCATGTTTTGAAGCCAACAATTGAGTTCCAGACGGGCTTCGTCCGAGAGCAACACAATTTGGTCAAAGGAGGCGGACGAACGAAGGTAGCAAGCCTTCAAGCGTTGGAGAGCCCAGTAGTGCAAGGGTCCCAGGAAGATGGCTTGAATGGAGGAAGATAGCAGACATATCATCCGTAACGTGGTCCTCGGATTGCGGAGTAGGTGTCTGATGTCCTTCCTGATGGCCACCTTGGATACCAGAAGGTGGAGCAGCGCCTGAACCGAATCGACCCCAAAACCAAGAAACTGGACCGACCGAGAGGGGGTCAGTTCTACCTTCTCTACATTGATGACGAACCCTAGGTCCTGGAGCAGACAGATTATGAACGCCGTCTGCCGACGCAGAACAGTGGGGTCTTGCACCATCAACAGAATATCGTCCAGATAGATGATTGACCTGATCCGACTGGCTTCAACAGTTTGGTGAAGCACCATAGGGCCCAGCTGAGTCCGAAAGGAAGGTATGTGAACTGCCAGACACGTTCCTGCCAGAAGAACTGGAGAAAACATCTGATCTGTCCTCTTGATGGATTGGGACTGTGAGGTAAGCGTCCTTCAAATCTAGATGCTAGAATCAGTTGTCCTCACAGAGTAGATCCCTGAGGAGGTGGATGCCTTCCATCTTGAAATGTAGGTAGACGACATACGCGTTGAGGGCACGTAGATTGATTACAGAGCAGAAATCCACTGACTTCTTCCTCACCAGGAAGATTTTGCTCAAGAAGCGAGGGAAGCCTGTCCCCCTCTCCACCGCTCCCTTATCCAGTAGGGCGAGTATTTCCGAATGGACCAGGTCTGTCGACTCCTTGTTCATGCAAATAGGTCTTGGAGCAGAGGATCTCTTGTGATGGCCTCCCACTGAGGAAAAAAGTGAGACAGTCTGCCCGCAATGGGTACATTTGGTACAATGGGTACATTTGGTAAATAAGGACCCTTACCTGAGGCGTATTTTGCCCATGTGGATGAAGCACCTCGGCCCTTGGAAGATCTTTGGGAAAACAATGGACGGTACTGGTACCAGGATGAGGAGGCGAAGGACTCCAAGAGGCAGGGCCTGTTGCACATGAAGGCAGCTCTGCTGGTGGCAAACCCCCTGTGCCGACCAGCCCTGGTGGAAAAACGGTCCTTGGAACAGAAGACCCTTCGGAGGGACTGTTGTGCCTTCTTGAGGGATGTGTAGATGGAGATGTGCCGATTCAATTTCTTCATAAAGGCATCCCCGAATAGCAGGCCCTTGGCATCCGGACCCAGCTCCTTAGAGGCCAAATCAGCTAATTTCACATCAAGTTTGTAAAGAGCCGCCTTGCTTTCCGAGTTGAGGGCCACATTGGCATTGCCCAGTAGACAGACAGCTCTTTGGGACCACTCCCGGAGGAGATAAGCATCAATCAGAGGTCTCCCTTGCAGGGCGTCATCTGCCATATGGAAGATCAGGGTCAGCGGGCTGCTGATATCAAGGAGTTTATCCTGGGTGGAACAGACTCTGTTCCAGGCCTTTGCATGGGTCCTTCCCAGATTTCGTCATGAAGTTAACAAACACCGGGTCAAAATCAAGGTTAAGGGCCACCTTGTCCGGCAATGTCAGACGCGTAAACTCCGCAATGTGGTCCAGAGTCGCCCATTCTGCAGAGCGGGGAT